CAGAGAGGGGCAGAAAAGAAGACAACAACAAAAGGAGGAGGAAGGGGAGGATATATATATATATCTAAATATATATTTTATTGTTTTCTTATGGAGATTCAAGGGCGTTTTGTTGCGATGAACCCGGTCAATATATATATTTTTTCTTTTGTTGTTGTTGCGTCCCCCTTTTGTTATTTATATTTATGTGTGTAATTGTGTTTGCGTTCAGTGGTTGGGTTTTGCTGTTGGTTTCTTGTGGGATGATAGAGTCCATTGTGTGTGTGTGTGTGTGTGTGTGCCTCCCCTTTGGTTATCTTTTTCTTTATTGTTGTTGCTGTTTGTTTGTTTTGTTGAGAGGATAATCCTCAAATACACACCGCACGTTGGCGATGATGGGAGGGTTATGCGTGCTGCTCCAGCCACCAGGATGCATGTGGAGGCGGACACACACACAAACACACACAAACACACAGAGGGAGAGGGAGAGAGAGGGAGATATGGAGGGCATTGTGTATGGATACTTTCTTTATGAATGAAGGGAAGGCAAACCGCATGAACCTCACCGCATTCTCACACATCCAGTTGCTTTTTTTTTTTGGATGTGGGTGAGTGGGTGGGTGGATAAGGGTGTCGGTTTACTTCCTGCGCTGTGGATGTGATTTATTCCCGATTGTTGTATTTTTACACCCCGCCATGTTTTTTTTGCATTTTTTTTTTTTGCATAAATGAGTCGGGACTCCGTTGCGGAGGGAACATGTCGCCTCTCCAACCATCCGCGCTATCGTCTCTGTCGTAGTCAAATGCCGCGGCCCAATTTGTGTATTACGATGTTCAGTATGCCTCTCTTCCCCTTTCTCTCTCTCTCTCTCTCTCTGTGTGTGTGTCCGACGGGTGGTGGATAGTTTGTCTGTTGCTGCTGCGCAGCGCGGGGGATTTCAAAGTATATGTTTTTTTTATTGTTTAGTGCTTCCCCTTCCCCAATTCCCCAATTTTTTTATGCGCGTCGATGCGCTTTTTGTTTGTGTCGGCAGCGGCACGACGGTGCATTTTACGGAGTGGCAGGGTCCACGCACTTCCATTGTCACACTTTTTTTTTTGCAAGGGGGTGTTGTGGGGCGCTGTGGCATTTGGCGTGGCTCTACAGACCCGGCTGGGTAGTTTTTGTGGGGGTCCTTTTATGCTTTTTTATTTTTATTTTTTGCACCTTTTTTTTTTTTGGCGCCAGTCACACACGGCGTCCCTGAAAATAACAGAGGCAAAAGGGAGGGGTATAGATATAAAGACAGGGGGGACACTTCAGGAGGGCGGCGGTGTTGCAGCTCTGCCCGCTCGTGGTGATACGAGGTGGGAGGAGAAGGAGCGGCCACAGGCAGAGTTCTTCTTTCCGTGCGTACACTGCGGGGAGGCGTAGAAATTCATCGGCATCTACGGGGATGTACGAGGAGATGACCAGGACGGAGACGGCTACGGCCACGTGCGACGAGAGCACCGGAACGGAGTTGAACGAAGAGTTGGAGTTTGTGTTCAAAGTTGTCGTAGTGGGCGACTATGGCGTGGGCAAAACGTCACTTGTAAAACGACTTCTTAGTGTGCCCTACACACAGCGAGGGGATGACGCGGCCGTAACGCTGGCGGAGGAGCCTCCCGCTGCGAGTGACCCCTGCCGGTCTGTGACGCCGACAGTCGGCACGGATTTTTTCTCACGTGTGGTGCGAAATGTGCGTGGTGGTCAACATGTGCGGCTGCAGTTTTGGGACACGGCGGGGCTGGAGCGGTACGCCGCGGTACATGCCACAACACACCGCAACGCATCTGCCTTGATGGCCGTATTTGACGTGAGCGATCGACGCAGCCTGGACTCGCTGCTCTCGACGCACCTGAGCACGGCCGCTCGCTACAACCCGGACTTGGACCAGCGGAGTGTGATTGTGGTCGGGAACAAGACGGACCTCCTGTTGACATCGAAGGAGAAGGAATTATCAAGCCATGAGCCGGAGTTTGTGACGCAGTGTGATGTTCAATTGGGACTCTTGGACGCACTGCCGGATATCGTCTACCACGAGGCGAGTGCCGTCACAAATATTGGCGTGAGTGGATTGCTGCATTCCTTATGCCAGGCTTTGCTTAAAGTGCATGGCGGGGAGGAAATCGAAGAGTTGCAGCCTGTGACAGGTGAAGCGGGGGCACAGCTACAATACTCCGTGCTTCCCAAAGGGCATATCACCACTTCTGCTGTTGATACGACAGCTGCGGCATCCCTCGCGGCGACGGAAGTGTCACCAACGAAGGCGGGCGATTCTACGAGCGAAGGCAATGACAGCAACGCTGCCCACAACAAGGACACAAAGGATCCTCATGTCACTGAGAAACATGCCGACCCCTATGACATGCCTCCTTCCAAAAGTTTAAAGGCGTGTGAGGTGGCACTGAATCCCTCCGTTCGTGAGTGCGCTGCGGCTTTAGAGGAGAACTCATTGGAAGATAAAAACCGGTATGATAGCCACACGAGTTCCATTTATAGTGAAGAGCCCGCGTCACCGCCCCTGGTTTCTCAAACCCTCTTACGAGGATCCCGTCAATTGGGTCCTCTATCGGCTAAAAGGGAAGGAAATAATTCCAATTTACTGTTACATAGCAACAAGGACGAGGATGAGTGTCGGAGAACGACGGAGTACAGCAGCGCTGATTCGGGTGACTTTCAGCGGGAAATTGAAGATCGATTTAAACGTGCAGAAGACACCGCAAGAATGGCCGCTGCAGAGTCACGGAACTCTCGGCATCAGAAGAGCAAAAAAGCGTCCAAGGTGAATTTATCGCGGTGTTATGGTGGTGGCCGTCGTGCTGGCGGCGGTGGCGATGGATCGGCCGGTAGAAAATCAAAGGTATGCAAGTGCTAGACTTTTTTAATGGTCAATGGCAAATGGCTTATTTTGCCTTTTTATTTTTATTTCTTCGTTGCGCCTTTCCCTCCCCCTTTTTTTTTGCTTAAAAAAAAATTTCCCGTATGATCGTACCGTCATGTGCACCGCAGGGATATAAATTTGCCGGTGGCGGGTGTGCAAAAAACCTTCCATGAAAACTGGCGGGGTTTACGCATCTCCTTCGCCCTTTGGATAAAAATACGATGCGTGTGAAAGAGCGAGGGGTGTGCATTTGATTTTAATGACGGGTGAATTTTTTAAAAAAAGACATTCCTTTACTTTTTTTTTTGTTTTTACCGCCTTTTTTCCTTTTCCCTTTTCTTTTTCTACGTTGTGCATGTATGGCAGGTGGGTGGGGATTAGGCGTCTGTCTGTTTGTCTGCTTTTCTCTGGGCTGCCGTTGATGCAGTAGGGATTGTGTGCGATTTCGGGAAGCGTGAGGGTACAACTCCTCCTTTTGAGGTCCCTGCAGCGGTTTGGGAGATGCGGTGCAGCAGCAACATGAGCGGTAATGAAATAAATGCAGAATGCGTTGGAGGATATGAGTGCCGCGTGTGACGGTTTCGCATCTCTGAGTTGTGGCAACAAAAAGCGCCATGATGGTGATGATGCGGCGTTTTGTGAGGGGCGATTGGATGCGAGGGCTGCAGGACAGACCGCCGTTTCTTTGTTACGGCTGATTTGTTTACTAGGATGTGCGGAAGTCTGCGAAGAAATCCGGTTTAATGGCCTAAAAGGGGGCGGGCGTCCTGCGTGCGACAGCAAGAATGTTCACTGAAGCCATTGACAATAACCGCTTTGCATTGTGCAGAGGGAGGAGAGTACATGCGGCAAGCGACATTTAAGGGTTTGGCTAAAAGGCAGAAAATATACACACACATAAAAAGGGGTGGGACTCCGCGAGAAGACGATAGAGGTATGTGGGGGAGGGCATCAACTGTCCATAGTATCTTCAGACCACCCGGCTTTTGTCCCCGAAGCAATCACAGCAGCCGTGGAGGAAATGACTGCTCCTTTTCAAATGACATCTTCCATGGGTGCGGGATTTTTCTGCCTGGACCGCAGCAGAGACGGTAGAATTGGCACATCCATCCTGAATTCATTTGAATAATTTTGGCGATCCGATGGAAATGACAATATATGCATGACAAGAGTTGCGGCACGGAGGGTTTTTAGGGTTTAATGATTCTCCCTCCCCCGTTTATTATTTTTTTTCTCTCTGAGCACGTGCCGTTTTGCGTTTTCACGTGTATTTCGACGAGTGCTTTGCCTTGGCATACTCCTGGGATGGATGTCTCTCCAAGTGTGACATGCGCCTTTTTAATGAACATTTTTCCTCTACAAGCGCATCGTGTCTTTGGCAATGAATTGACTGTCAACGGGACGGAGGACGGTGTTGAGGGTGAGATTAGCTGCGTGTAACATTGATCTTGTGCGCAGGGAACAGGAAGTGGCAAGCGGCCTTCTTGGCATCGTGATTCCTGCCGTGTGGCGGGCCCAAGTTTTGGGTGGCCCTATGCAACGTACGGCCTATTTCTGGAGAAGGAGAAGATACATTTTATTTCTAACAGAAAGGCGTAACAGCAGCAGCAGCAGCGGCGTAGTTTTAAGTTTCTCCGTCTTTGTGTGGGTGTTGTTGCGTTTTTCATGCGAATCTGTTAATATATATATGCATTAGGAATAATTAAGCCATATGGGCATTTTTATTTTTATTTTTTCCATGCGTTTTGAGTGGGAGGGGATTTGGAAAGTTGAGGGCCGTGCATTCGGTGTGAGGGTGACTTTTGGCGATCTTTTCAGATGTCTTTTGTTCTCACTTCTTTGTGTATGAAGACATGCATTGCGCTGTTTGGCGGGGCTGCTGGGCTTCTTGACGGAACGACAATAATAAACGAAAAAATGATACGAGATGATGACGACAAAAGTGTGTGTGTGTGTGTTGTCGGAAACTACAGAACTTTTGCCAGTCTTTTTATTGTTTTTTAATTCTTCTTTTATGTCTGTTTCACACACACACACACACACACACACACACACACACACGCATATATATATTGAGAGAGGTGTTTAAGGGGTATTTTGTGGCGCGGCGATTTCATGTTTTACAGGCGACTTGGCATGCGTCTGTTTCCGCGCGGATGCCAGCAGGAGTCTTGGCGTCTTTTTCCTGCACTGCCACCGGGCACAGCGGTATCACAGCGAGGCTTTGGGGGCCCGGAGATGATACCGCAGACCAATAGGAGGGAGAGGAGACGCATCGACCGCCTTCTCTTTTCCCAACAGGGCGTGCGGAAGATGCTGGCACTTTTTCCGTCATTGAGGAATATGGCGGGGTGCTGGAGGAATTTACGCTTGACACGTGATGGGGGCGCAGCTACCGTTCCCCACGTTCTCCGCTCTGCACAGCCGGGTGGCAAAGGGCCTACGGCCGGGGACGGCAAAAATGATTCCGAAGGAGAGTCCGATGACTTCGCCGCCACAGCAGAGGATAATGGCAACGAAGATTCATTAGTGGAACGCTCCGTTCTGTTTGTGCTTTTTATGTTCCTGCTTTCGTATGTGCTCTACCGACTTGCACAGCCGTCAGGGAAGCCTACAGGATGGGCCTCACTTATGAAGCACGCGGACATTATTGAGAGCATTCATCTCTACCAAAACTATGCGCAGGTTTATATGGAAGAGGCGAAAGTTTACCTGGGCCTGGTGGATGACCAGCACACGCAGGAGAAGCTTGAGATGCTGCGTGCGGCATGTATCACCGCCAAGGTGAATAAGCAGCAGTCGAAGAAGGAGCCGAATGATGGCACGAACTCTGCCGGGTTTGATGTTGTTATGAAGGGAACGCCACTAGCGGAGCACGTTCTTGTGGGATTGGGCGTCTTTGCGTGGGTGATTCCGTTTGTATTTTTTCCCGTTTTTGTCATGATTCTTTCCAACTCGATTGGAAAGTCGCTTGCGGCCACCGTGGATGCAGGAAAGAAGTCACAGAAAGTGAAGGACATGGTGTTTCGTGTGGAGCGTACATCCAACACACGGTTTCACGACATTGCGGGAATGAAGGAGCCAAAGAAAGAGATTACTGAGGTGGTTGATTTTCTGCGGCAGCCTGAGCGCTACACGGCGCTGGGCGCGAAGATACCGACAGGTGCTCTCCTGCTTGGCCCGCCAGGCACGGGAAAAACCCTCTTGGCCAAGGCGGTGGCAGGGGAGAGCGGGGTGGGTTTTATCCCTGTCTGTGGCTCGGATTTTGTCGAGCTTTATGTTGGCATGGGCGCGCTGCGTGTGCGGCAGCTCTTTGAGACGGCGAAGAAACAGCGCTGTATTGTTTACATTGACGAGATTGACGCCATCGGCCTCAAACGAAGTGGGGCGGGTCACGGCGAGAAGCAGGAGCAGGAGCACACACTGAATGAGCTCCTTACCCAACTGGACGGCTTCAGTTCGGGAAAACGAGGTGATTTAATGATTCTCGCTTCCAGTAATGTGGCGCAAGAGATGCTGGATCCTGCACTGATCCGTCCTGGCAGGTTTGATCGCATTATTTATGTCGACATGCCTGTCATCTCGGAGAGGATTGATATTTTCAAGGTGCACCTTAGCGCTCTGCGGCTCTTGAAGGAGACGGGTGATCCCGCGGGGACTGAAGCGATGGATTCATCGGCTGACGCCGCCACGACGACAGCTGGCCGAGAGGACAGCGCTGAACATCCTGCAACGCAAGTGAAGGGATGCACCGCAATCGACGACACGGCTGTGGGTGCGGGGGACGATCCCAACGCATCCACGACAGTAAAGGACTCTTCCAGCAGCACGGCCTCTTCGTCGACATCGACAGCGACTGCGGCTGCAACTCCAAATGTTAAAGAATCGGCGCTCACCATCAGTCAGCTGCAGCAGGAGCTGGACGAGGAGAGGCAAAGTCTAAAGGAAGAAGAGGGCCTTTCGGGTCATGCCTCGTTTGACTTCCGTTCCCTCTTGGCAAAGAAGAGCGAGAGGGAACGCGCGCTCATTAGCACCTATGCGGAACGTTTGAGTAGTCTCTGTCCCGGCTTTGTTGGCGCCGACATCGCCAACGTATGCAACGAGGGGGCGATTCTTGCTGCTCGCGAGGCGTGCGAGTTTGTTGACATCTCTCATCTTGAGCGTTCCATTGATCGTGTGCTCGCCGGCATTGAGCACCGCAGCCGCGTGCTGACACCATTCGAGCGGGAGGTCGTCGCCCACCACGAGGCGGGGCATGCAGTGGCGGGATGGTTCCTCAACCGAGCAGAACCGCTCATGAAGGTTTCTATAGTTCCACGCGGCGGCTCCGCCCTCGGCTATGCGCAGTACCTGCCGAACGAAAATCGCATGCGCACGGCGACGGAGGTTCGCGACTCCATCAGCGTGACGCTTGGCGGTCGTGTGGCGGAGAAGATATTTTTTAACCATTTGTCAACAGGTGCCTCCGACGATCTGCGAAAAGTGACGCACATGGCGTATCAATACGTGAGCTCCTTTGCGCAGCGGCCGGTGTATCCTGCGCCCGGCACACACGGCACACGTTTTGTGAAGCCGTTTGGCCCAAAGGTCTCAAATGAGTTGGACGTGGAGGCCAAGAAGCTTGTGGATGAGGTCTACGAGTCCACGTACAAGCTTTTGCTCTCCAAGAAGACAGAGATGGAGACGCTTGCCAGACATCTGCTGCGGAAGGAGGTGCTCACGTACGATGACGTTGTGGGCTACTTTGGTGTGCGGAGCTCCAGACTTTCGGACCGAAAGAAGAATTCGTAGAAGTTAATTGAGAGTGAGAGAAAGAGAGTGAGTTGGGCCGCAGGAAC